CACCTGTCTGTGACTGAGCCAAGGCTCAGGCATTTGGGGGCTGGGGGAGGGAAGCAAACCTGAAGCTGGGAGAGAGGGGCCATTCTGGTGCTGAGTTCCATTACCTTAAAACAAGCCGCTCTTAGGCAGTGAAGGGGGGCCATGGAAGAGCAAAGTTCCTTTTGCAAGTTTACTTTCTGCCTTTTTATTATAATTACTATTATTATTATTATTATTATTATTATTATTTTTAAGTAGGCTCCACGGGGAGCCCGACTTGGGGCTTGAACACATGACCCTGAGATCAAGACCTAACCTGAGGTCAAGAGTCAGATACTTAACTGACTGAGCCGCGCAGGTGCCCTATTTTCTGCCTTTGGAAAAAAACCTTTTGCAAGTGGGTATAGCCACTGTGAGAGGACAGAGTGGGTGCCTTCCGGGCGCCTGGGCACAGGTGGGGCAGAGGCACGGGCTTCTGATAAATCCAGGACGGGGACCCTAAACTCCTTCTCTGGCCCACAGTGCCCACCTGCAAGGGGAGCCGGATCAGCAGGCTCATGCCTGCTACCACCCACCCGTGGCTGCTGTGGCCTGGTGGCTCTCGGGGACTGGTGGCGACTTCAGAAATGGGAGGTCGTCTGAGCTGTTGCTCCAGTTCCCTGGGACTTTGATGGGCACAGGGCCCCAGGCAGGAGGTGGCCTAGTAGGCAGGTGTTACCCTAATTTGTGACTTTTTCAATGGAATAAACATAGAACAGAAAGGAAATAAACAGGAAAAGTAGCAACGTCGCATTCCTAGTCATCCCTCCCAGAGCGTCCCCAAATTTGCTAACTGCTGACATCAAATGATGCATTTGGGTAGAGGAGTGCATCTTTTTATAGTGATAAGATACGCCTAACGAAATTGACCATTTTTACCGTTTTTGAGTTCAGTGGCATTAAGTACATCCACATCGTTGTGCATCTGTTTCCAGAACTTTTCCATCTTCTCTGCCCGGAACTCTGCACCCGTGAAACACTGACTCCCCATCTCCCCCCTCCCCCAGCAATCACTGCTCCACTTTCTGTTTCTATGAATTTGACCACACTGGGGACCTCCTCTACGTGGAATCATATAGCATTTATCCTTTTGTGTCTGACTTATTTTACTCAGCATGATGTCTTCAGGGTTTATCCATGTGGTAGTATATTGCAACATTTCCTTCCTTTTTAAGGCTGAATAATATTCCCATTGTGTGGCTAGACCGCATTTTGTTTCTTGATTCTCCCGCCGATGGACACGTGGGTTTCTTCCATGTTTTGGCCATTGTGAATGATGCTGCTGTGAACAGGAGTGCATCCTGTAAGGTACTATAGTCTGGAGGGTACTGCTGGCTTACGCCGTTGTGAGAATTCTGGGTGCAGAGCGTCCTGAGCTTTGGTATTACAGGTGCTCAGGTGGAAACAGCACCGGATGAACTCAGGCTGCCTGGAAAAGCTCCCCTGGCCCCGGCTTCACTGTCTTTATCTGTCTGGTGGGATGGACATGATTGTTGATGAGTGTCCAAGGAGGGGGGGCTCCCTGGCTGCCGCTGTGCCCCCAGCCACATGGGAGACAGGCTGGTGTCCTCTTCTGTCCGAGAGCTATTACTATACTAACAGTAGTGATGACTGATTTGAGATGAGGCAGGAGAACAGGACGTGGCTTTGAAGGGGGCTGCGTCTGGGGGAGCCCAGATGGGACGGTGGATGTCTGTGGATTGTCTGCCCCTACCCACCCCCAGAGGGGGGGTGGTGGAATGCAGCCTCGTGGGTGGCTGATTGAGTAAACTGGCCTTCCTGTCCTCAGGTCCAGCTGGGAGCTCCCGGACCTCCAGGAAGGCAAGATCGAGGCCATCAGTGACTCAGACGGGGTGAACTACCCCTGGTATGGCAACACCACAGAGACGTGCACTATTGTGGGTCCCACCAAGAGAGACTCCAAGTTCATCATCAGCATGAACGACAACTTCTATCCCAGTGTCACGTGGGCCGTGCCCGTCAGTGAGAGCAACGTGGCCAAGCTGACCAACATCTACCGGGACCAGAGCTTCACCACGTGGCTGGTGGCCACCAACACCTCGACCAATGACATGATCATTTTGCAGACGCTGCACTGGCGGATGCAGCTCAGCATCGAGGTGAACCCCAACCGGCCCCTGGGCCAGCGCGCCAGGCTGCGGGAGCCCATCGCCCAGGACCAGCCCAAAATCCTGAGCAAGAACGAGCCGATACCGCCCAGCGCCCTGGTCAAGCCCAATGCCAACGACGCTCAGGTCCTCATGTGGCGGCCCAAGTACGGGCAGCCGCTGGTGGTGATCCCACCCAAGCACCGGTAACAGCCAGGGTGCCCTGCTAGGCTAGACTCAAATAATAACACTGCTCCAACAACACCCACACGGACTCTTCAGTCATTCAGCAAAATACAACCACTCTACCTTCTCGAGCGGGCGGATCTCACTGTGCAAATGCCCCGGGATGGCCTCCCCCAGCCCTCTTGGCACCTGCTTCCTTTCGGGGAGGGGGAGGCCCGGCCGGGACACCCAACCCCCCATGCCCCCTTCACCTTGGGTCTCCTTTTCTGGCAATTCCAGTCATTCACTTGCAAGACTCCCTGAAACAACTGCTTTTTCAGTTCTTCTTCTTCTTCTTCTTTTTTTTTTAAACACCTCTTTAAGAGGTTCTGGGCGGGAGGAGGCGGGGCTGGCTATGACCCTGACTGGCAGCCGCTGCTGATTTGTGAGTGGCGGCCCCCCACGGCAGCTCCCCTCGTCCTCCCTCACACGGCCTTACGTAGACTCGCTTTGCCAAACTTTTGCCTTAAGCTGAATTTAAAGGAAAAAGCCCAAAACAGACAAAGAAAGCAGGATCTCTTTTCTACCGGACTGTTCATCTTCTGCTAGAGGTGAGGGAGGGGGCAGGGCCAGGGAGGAGAGAGGGGCACCTGAGCCCTCCTCCCGGCGGTCTTGAGAGAGGGGCAGGGGACAGATTTAGACCTAAAACCAGCTGCTCATTCTTTCGTTTCAGCAGAAACGAAACCAGAAACCAGACCGACCACCTAAAGAGCTCCTTCTCTCAGGCTCGGTGGAAGCCCCTCTTCCCCATACGTGCGGAGAAGGTACCTCTGCGCTCCCACGGGGTGGATCTGCTGGGGCCGCTTCTCTCCTCTCTCTTCTGGCAGCCTTACCTTGCCTGGGGCGGATCTGGGAGGAGTGGGGGCTGAGCCCCGGGATTCTCAGATTCTTACCATCTCAGTCCTCAGCACCCAGCCACAGATGGCTCCACAGGCACATCTCACTATTGTGCGTCTTTTTCCTTTTCTGTCCACACTGGCCCCAAGAGCCTGGAGGGCCAGCCACCTTGAGCCAGATTTAGTTCCAAGGTAAGAGAGGCAGGCAACCTCCTTCCTGGCTCCTTCTCAGGAGATGCCCCCCCTACCCTGTGCCAGGCGCTCTGGGAGAAGCTACAGACAGCTCTGGGCACCAGTGTTGGGGGTGGGAGCAAGCTGCCAGGGGGGCACCCAAGGATAGGTGGTCCTGGATCTGGGGAGGCCGGGGAGGCCATCAGCAGATGCCCCCTGCTGCTTATCCTCCAGGAAGCAAACCAGGGCCTCTGGCTGGTGGGGGTGACATGGGGCCATGGTTGACAGGCATTGGGGCCGCTCTGGAGGCTGGTCGGGACAGTGTGGCCAGTCTGGAGGGCCACCATCCCTCAGGGCCTGGGCCCTCCAGAGCCCAAGGATGGTCCTGAGCGACCCCAAGCTTTACTTAGTAATGTCTGCCTTGAAGGCTGCTTGCAGGAGCTATGGGGGACACCCCACGGAAGCCCCCTTTCTCAAGCTTGCCAACCCCCACAGCTACTTCACCTGGCCCTGCATTCAAACTAATAATACCCAAGCACAGAAAACCATCAGAAAAGAAAATTCATTTCTGCTGCAGATGAGCCACTTGTTAGAAGTCCCAGTGACAGCGTGGGAGGATGTGGGTCACCTTGCTCTTGTACTTACTCCAGGGGTGCTTAATGTCCTGTCCGTCACCCACGCCCCGCTCCTGACAGCGGGCCCTCAGCTATCCTGGGACAACTGGACCGGAACATGCCTGTGGTACCAACACTTGCGTGCTGCTTGGGGAACCCCTTTGTCAGGCCCAGGACCTTCCCCCTGGAAACTGCCTGTTCCCCTCAGTGTGTACGGAGACCCTGTCACCCCGAGAGGCCAGAGAGCCTCGAGTGAGGGGGACGATGGGTCCCAGCTCTACCTCTGGGGAAGGGCCAGGGAGGGTCCAGGCTGACGGCGTCCTGCTGCCGTGGACAGGACCTGGCCTCCTAACGGAGCGGCCCTTCTCTGCACTCAGGTCTTTCTTGCACTAAAAAAAAAAAGAGGAATGGCCCTGGGCGAGGGGTCAGGGAGCTGGAGTTCGGGTTCTGGGCTGGGTCATCATGAAGGGATGCTCACTGTGCGATGGGGTGGGAGCAGGAGAGGACAACATGGAGTGGTCCTGAGCTGTTGGGGGCGGAGTCCCCCAAACACGCACCGGCTGAGCGTGAGCAAGCTCTCACCAGGGACCAGCGCTGTGCCCACTGGGAGGGAGCGAACCTGCTCTGGCTGCCTCCCCCAGCCTGCCGCATGTCTGGGCCCCAGCTCGCCTTGCTCCCTGACTCACCTTGTCCCTCCGGCCCCCCTTTCTCTCTGTCGCTCCTGGCCTTTCTGAAGACGGGGCTGGGAAGACCCTGGAGAGGCCACAGGTCCGGCCAAGGACACTGGGCTTCACTTGGGTCTGGTCCCTGGGCCTCCTCCCTGTCAGGAGCACAGACCCCAGGCTTCTCACCTGGGTCCCCAATCCCTCTGGTGTCCCCCTCCCCTGGTGTGGACACACTCCTCCAGCAATAAGGACCATTCGTGGTCGTGGAGAGTACTGTGAAAACAAACCAATGCACTTACCAGGAGGCACAAGACTCTTGAAGAACATGTAAAATTCACCTTTTTAAAAAAGAACCAACAAATATTCACAAAGAGAAATAAAATGTAATTTTAAAGTAGGCCTGGCTAGGATCTGGATGTTTCTGAAGTGTTTTCTGAAGTGGTGGTTCATTTTGGGGTCGATGGTGTTCTGGCCACGGGAGTGAGCATACTTGGAGGTGGGCCACTTTGTTCACACATCCTCTGCTGTCTGCAGCCCTGGGACCTCAAGTCCCCGCCCAGAGTGCCCCGGCTGGTGCCCTGTGTGGAGGCAGGACCTGGGGGCAGCTTGGTTTTTTGGCAAACAGTAGAAACCCACATGATGGGGAGTTAGTGTTCAGATGCCCACGGGCCTGCAAACCTGTCTTCACACGGAGAAACAGCTGCCGGGACGGTGTCAGTCCAGAACATGGCTCTGTGCCCTGCCCTCAGTCAGCTGCCGACGAAAGCGAAAGGGGGTGGCGTGGAGTCATGGCCCTCGTTGTAAATGCTTTCTTCTAATTAGAACTTTCTTATGAAAGGATGGGAGGTGGGTGTGGGCTCTGAAGGTGGACTGTGGAGTCAAGGCAACTTGCATGAGTTTGGGTAAGACACTGAGCCCCTCTGAGCCCCCTTTACCTTGTATGGAAAGTCGGGATTCTCCGAGTCGTTGCCTTCTAGCTGACGTGGTGAACACACGCTGGTCTACTTGGTTTCCAGGTGTTAACAACCCGGGTGTTCTTAGGGTCCCCATTTCACAGATGAGGAAACTAGAGGACAGCAGAAGTCGAGAAGCTGCTCAAGGCCATGCATCTGGGAAGAGGCAGAGTCAATCAGAGTTTGAACCCTGGCCCTGGAGCCCAAACCCTTACCACTGCATACCCTCAATCCTGGCGTATTGCTACAGAGCATTGTTTGGTGCTCAATAAATATCAGTGACTGTTAAGAAGGCCCTGTGCCTCTGCTCCATCCATCCTGGGCTCCCGGGCAGGAAATGCCTTTCTCCCTGCTCCCCCGACCCCCCCGCCGCCCCCGGAAGGTTTTGTGCAGCCGTCAGTCCTCTGATACCCACAGTGAGTCCAGCCTGTTCCCTTTGGTGGGAGGGCTGCCCGGTTGGCTGCAGACCACGGGCTCATCCTCCAGGGGTGCCAGCAGCCTCTTGGCGTTGCCACGGAGGACAAGGGACCCCGTTCACTGTGGGCATCGGGAATTGGTTTTCTTCTCTGGGTTTTCCGCATTGTAACAACCCAACGGCATTCTGCATCCTGTCTCCTGGGTCTGAGACACCAAAGCAGGAAATTGCATAACAGGCTCTGCTGGCCGCCCTCCACCCAGATGGCTTATGGGTGGTACAGTTCACTGTGGTGGTTTGGCTTTTGGTTGTGGTGTCGGCTCCCAAGCTCTGCCTATGAGAGAGCATGGGGTGTGTGTGCGTGCCTGCGTGCGTGTGTGTGTGTGTGTGCACACGTGCACTTGTGGACAACAGGGGTGCCGGTCTAGCCAGCGGCGGGACAAAGCCAGGGTTGCTCAGCCATTTGGGCCTTCCGGCCGACGCGGCTGACGACGCGCAGATGGTGGCGCGCACTGGGGGGTGGGGAACGTTCCAGAGGGGAATGCGCCAGGAGGGTGGCCATGAATGAAGAGGGTTCCAAGTGGCATTTAGTCACAGTGGAAGCCCTCCTGCCTCTCAAGCTGATAGCAGGTTAAATTTAGAAGTCCCAGACTGGGATGAGACACAGACACCAGACTCGAGCCAGCTGTCGCAAGGTCCCCTGCTGGAGCGGGGCCTGGGAGAGCCAGCTGTCAGGGCCGGGCCAGGCCCGCCTGCCCCACAATGCCGGAGAGAAGCAGGAGCGCTGTGACTCTACACACAGACTGACTGTCGCCTCTGGAGAGAGTCCAGCCTCTGGACTCGGGCTCCCTGCCGGTGAGGTCTTGAGCCCACAGAGGAAACCCCACTTGTTGTTGGGCCAAGAGCGGGACAGCTCAGAGGGAACCACAGAAAGGCCATGGCTGGAGGCACTCTCAGACCCCAGGGGACATTTCTATCGGCCCACATGTGCTATCTCACCTCCGGCTTGATTTCTCTCTCGGTCATCATCTGTCGTGCCCGGCTGTCCCCACAGACACTGTTTCGCACCTGGCTGGGGTCTGGGCATTGGATTAGGGCAAATATTGGAGGTAGCAACAGGTTACTGTGCACACATACCATCCAAACAGACCCACCCCAAATCCTTAGCCCACCACTCAGCCCCGCAACAACACACATGCAGAGCGCATGCTCTGGTGCTGGAGGGCCCTTCCTGCCACCGCCGAGCACATACGAGTGTAGAAGGGGAACTTTCAGAGTTGAGGAAACTGGCCCTCAGAAGGGGCTGCAGGACCTGCTGGAGGTCACTCGGCTGGGAAGTTGCAGAACTGGGAGGGTTTCAAACAGCCGTCTGGTGACCTTGCTGGGTCACTGCTCATTTGGCTACACCACCCCCGGCCTCTCCACACTCCAGTTCTACCAGACTGCCCATCCCTGCTCTTCTGCGGACTGCCGCGCAGAAGGCCCCTGGCGTGGGGCTGAACGTGACTCATCACAGGCCCGCTGACCCAGGAAGATGAAAAGTATTAAATGCAAGAAAACACATCTGAGCGAATGAGCTGCATCTCTGCACTCGGGTCCAGAGAGGCCAACCCGTGCTGCTGACAGGGGTCCAGGCAGGTCCTTCCCCACTGCTCTGTGTGGACTGGAAGGCGGGACGGATTCATTCCTCTACCGGCCTGAGCCCAATATAGCTTTAAGGGCCACTGCCCTGCTTCATCGTTTATGGTCCCTTTTTTAATCAGACAGATGATGGGCGGCGGCGCTGGGTGTTTACGGCAAGTGAGACACAGTTAGAAACCCTGCGCTATTCTTGGCTGCCACTTGTCTTGGTGAATGAGGTCGGTGAGGGAGGTCGGCTGGTTGCCTGACCTCACATGCCTGAGTTTCCTGATTGGCAAGCTGGGACACGCACACCTAGCTCGCCCTCCTGTCAGGGCCCAGCAATGTGCGGCAGCTGTGAACCCTGCCCAAGGGGCTGCCTGAGGATGACCATACCAGACTGGGGCTTCCACAGGAGACCAGAGACACCCTTCCTTCAAAATGGCAACACCCAGACCACAGGCCTTGATTATTCGGGATCCTTAGACTCTCACCCAATGCATACTGGGTGCCAGCCAGCCAGCCAGACAAGAGGGTTTCAGTGTTGTTTCCACGGCTTATCGAGTTAGAGTTCACATGTCAAACAGCTCACCCATTTAAAGTGTACCATCCATTGGCGTTTCGTGTATACACAGAGTTTGCAGCCAGTACCCCGACTTTGGAATGTTCACATACCTCAAAGGGAAACCCTGTACCTGTTAGGTATCATCGTCCCCAACGCCCCAGCCCCAAGCCACCGCCGATCTCCCTTCTGTCTCCATCCATGTCCCTACTTGGGACATTTCGTGTGAATGGAGTCACACCACATGTGCTCGCCTGTGCCTGGCTCCTTCCCCTCAGCATGGCGTTTTCAGGGTTCCCCTGTGTCGTGGCGTGCATTGGCACCTCCTTTTCAACAGATGTACTTCTGACCATCTCCTGTGTGTGAGGCCTTTGCCAGGTGCTGGAAAAGCAGCGGCTTGGAGCTTACCATCCCCAGGAGAAAGTGGTCTGTGACGATGAGTCTGCAGGGGGCCGACTGGAGGGTCAGAAGGGGGGACCAGGAGGATGGCTGGCTTCTGGGCACACAGTAGGTATGAGGGAAATTTGACCTATTAATGCTGGTAAGCCCCTGAGAATCAGTTTCCTCATCTGCAAGATGGGGCTATGGTGTTCTCTCAGGGAAGGAGGACTTGGGATTGGCAAGCATGGCCCTTAGCCCAGGGCCACAGGTGTTAGCTGTTATTGACCTTGTAACCGGATGTTAAAAAGATTTTTTTCTGTCTCCTGCTGGATGTGCCAAGGGACCGAGGAGCACTTTGGCCTGCCTTGGTCCAATCCCTGCTCAGGCATGTAAGCGAACGGTGGCAGGGGTGCGGAGGGGAGGCTGGAGAAAGGCCGCCCTACGGAGGGCTGTTCATGCACTGAGCATTCTTCAGGGGTGGCTGCTTCACTCCAGCCCCTGCCCGAGCTGACAGTCTGTGCCAGCCCAGCTCTCTGCCCACCAGGTGCTTAAGGCTCAGTGAACATTCACCACCACCTCTCCCGTTGGAAACGATCCCGAAGAGCTTAGAGGCATGGTCCCGCATCAACGCTGGCTCCTTGGCTCGGCGGTTCACTCTGAGCACCGTCAGGGTCCTTAGCTGAGAATGTGGATGGTCTATTACTCATCGTGACTTGTGATAACATAATCACAGAACTGACCTTCGTAACCACGTTTAAGCGTGCCATTCATACGCATTGTGCAACCACCACCACCCTCCGTCTCTGGAACTTTGTCATCTTGCACTGTGGAGACTCTACCCTCACCAAACAGCTTCTTCCCTCTCCCCAGTGCCCCGGCGGATGCCTTTCCACTTTCTGTCTCTGGATGTGATGACTCCAGGGACCTCCTATCAGTGGAATCACAACTTGTCTTCTTGTGACTGCTTTACTTCACAGCGCATCAGGCCCTCAAGGTTCATCCATAGCGTAGCATGTGTCAGGATGTGCTTCCTTTTCAAGGCTGGCTACGACTCTCAAGGCATTTCTGTCTGGGGCCGTGGGTCTCAAGACGACCCAGAGGCCTCCTGGGATTACAGCCTAGCCCCCGCTGCTCACAGTGAGTCATCATACACCAGCAGATTATGGAGCTGTGCGAGTAAGTCCACATGTGGTTCATTTTGGAAGACTTCCCTCCCAACTGGTTAAAATAATGAAATTCCAAGTGCTTGAAGAGGGAAACTTTTCTCATCTGGAAAATTCACTTATCTGGAAAATGCTCTTTTCCATAAAATGTTATTTCTGTGCATGAATAGGGAGGCAGGAGGAGGAGGAATCATTTTGGGAAGTGCTGTAGGGCGGCTGGACTTGAGGGTGAGCTTCAAGAAGGTCCTTTACTGTATCCTCGGGGGCAGGTGTAAACTCGGGCTTCCCCAGTCCTAATCTGGACGTGGCACCTCCCAAGATGTGGTGCGGACAAGAGGGGAACCCAGAGGCTGCGGCCACGGTGCTCCCCGTTGGCCACCAGTTGATGTCCTCATCATGAGTTACTGGCAGAGGCACCTGCCCTGATGTTCAGTGATCACTTGGTGAGGCTGCAGATCTGGCTGTCAGCCATGGAAAACGAGCTGTCTTGGGACACCTGGGTGGCTCAGTCGTTAAGTGTCTGCCTTCAGCTCAGGTCATGATCCCAGGGTCCTGGGATCAAGTCCCGCATCAGGCTCCTTGCTCAGCAGGGAGCCTGCTTCTCCCTCTGCCTGCAGCTCCACCTGCTTGTACCTTTGCTCACTCTCTCTTGCTCACTCTCTCTAACAAATAAATAAATAAAAATCTAAAAAAAAAAAAAAGAAAACGAGCTCTCTTAGGGACTTCTTCTGGAACCTCTGATCAGGGAGGAGTTCTGCACTGCAGGGCCTCAGAGAATACGCCGGGCAGCCGGTGAGGTCTGAGCACCAGGCACCAGCCTTTCGTTGCAGAGCATGGACTGAGCCACTAACACAGCACTTCGGGTGTTGCTATGTGTGAGGCAAAGGGATTTCCCTGTGAGCAGCCCGCCATTTCCTGTGAAGGTTAGCGGAGGGAGGCTGGCACGGCCTCTGCAGCTGTCCTCTTGACAGACAGCACCACACCACAGTGATTCTGCTGCATGGACCTGTTCCATCTCCTTCTGATGCATGAAGAGAATCCAACCCCCGGCTCCCAACAGGAAGCTGCTGATCCTATAGGAATGATGGGTGTGAGAAATAGCAGTGGGATTGGCATAACCGGTGGTTGGATGGCCAGGGAGCCCAGAAAACTCTGAATCCTGCCCACTTCCTTTGTAGCCGGGGGCAGGGAGGTGTCCTGAAATCCAGCCTGAGAACCCAGAGAACTGAATCCTGCAGAAAATCTCCCCCGAACTGCCTCTTCACCTTTGTCAACAATTAATCATATAGGTGTGGATCTATTTCTGGACTTCCTGTTTTGCATAACTTGATCTCTTTATCTTGACACCAATTTCACGTGGTCCTAAATATTGTAGCTTTATAGTAAGTCCTCCAACTTTGCTTTTCATTCTTTGAGGTTGTTTTGGCTGTTACAGGTCCTTTGCATTTCCATATGAAATTTAGAATCAGCTACAAAAAAAAACAAAAGATCATGTTATCTGTGAATGAAGTTTAATTTCTTCCTTTCTAATCTGGATGCTTTTTTTTTAATTTAATTTTATTTTTTTTAAAGATTTTTATTTATTTATTGAGAGAGAGAGAGAGAATGGTAGAGAGAGAGCATGAGAGGGAGGAAGGTCAGAGGGAGAAGCAGACTCCCTGCTGAGCTGGGAGCCTGGTGCGGGACTCGATCCTGGGACTCCAGGATCATGACCTGAGCCGAAGGCAGTCGCTTAACCAACTGAGCCACCCAGGCACCCTGGATGCCTTTTTAAAAAAAGATTTTATTTATTTATTTGACAGAGAGAGACACAGCCAGAGAGGGAACACAAGCAGGGGGAGCAGGAGAGGGAGAAGCAGGCTTCCCGCTGAACAGGGAGCCCGACGTGGGGCTCGAACCCGGGACCCTGAGATCACGGCCTGAGTCAAAGGCAGATGCTTAACTGACTGAGCTATGGAAACGCCCATCTGGGTGCCTTTTGTTCCTTTTTCTTGCCTTGGCATATTGGCTAGGTCTTCCTATGCGGTGTTGGATATAGACAGAAGCAGTGAGAGTGGCCATTCTTGCCTTGCTCCTCATCTAGCATTCTTTCACCATTACATGTGATGGTAACAGTAGGATCTTCCTAGATGCTCCTTATCAGGCCAAGGAAGTTCCTTTCCACTTCTGCTTTGCTCAGAGTTTGTCAGGAACAACACTGGATTTTATCAAATGCCTTTTCTGTATCTATCGAGATGATCATGTGTGGGTTTTTTTTTTTAATTTTTTACTCTGTTAATGTAGTGAATTGTATTGATTGATTTTCAAATGTTAAACCAACCTTGAGTTGCTAGAATAAATCCTACTCGGTCATTATGCATATCCTTTTTATATAGTATTGGATCGGATGACTAAACTTTTAAGAATTCTTACATCTAGGGGCACCTGGGTGGCTCAGTCAGTTAAGCGTCCGACTTGTTTTTTTAAAGATTTTAGTTATTTATTTGACAGAGAGAGAGAGAGAGAGACAGCAAGAGAGGGAACACAAGCAGGGGGAGTGGGAGAGGGAGAAGCAGGCTTCTCCCGCAGAGCCGGGAGCCCGATGCGGGTCTCGATCCCAGGATCCTGGGATCATGACCTGAGCCGAAGGCAGACGCTCACCTGACTGAGCCACCCAGGTACCCCAGGTGCCCCATGTCTGACTTTTTTTTAAGCTTTTTATTCACTTATTTGAGAGAGAGAGAGAGAGAGTGCACAAGTTGGGGGCAGAGGCCGAGGGAGAGGGAGAAGCAGGCTCCCCACTGAGCAAGGAGCCCAACATGGGGCTCGATCCCAGGACCCTGCAATCATGACCTGAGCTGAAGGCAGATGCTTAACTGACTGAGCCACCCAGGTGCCCCATTCCCTTTAATTTTCTGTAAGAGTTTGTGTGTCATTGTATTATTTCTTCCTGAAATACTTGGTAGAACTCACTGGGGAAGCCCTTTGGATCTGGAATTTATTTTATGGGAAAATTTTGATAAATTCAATTTCTTTAATAGCTATAGGGCTATTTATCTGTTTCTTCTTGAGTGAACTTTGATGATTTGTGCTTTTAATTTGTCTACTTCATCTAAGTTGAAGTAATGAGTAAGGATATTCATATTCCTGATTATCCTTTAAATACCTGAAGAATTTGTAATGATGTCACCTTTCTCATTACTGACATTAGTAACTTGTGTCTTCTCTTTTCCCTGATTAGTCTGGCTAGAGGTTTATCAATTTAATTGATTTTTTCAAAGAACAGTTTCATTTATTTTTCTTGTCTTATTTTATATCCTATTGTATTCATTTTGGCTCTGTTCTTTATTATTTCCTTTCTTCTACCTATCTTGGGTTTTATTTACCTTTTTTTCTACTTTCTTAGATAGCCTCCTTCTTTTTAAAATATAGAAATCGGGGCGCCTAGGTGGCTCAGTCAGTTGGGTGTCCAAATCTTGGTTTCAGCTCAGATCATGGTCTCAGGGTCATGGGATGGAACCACACATTGGGCTCTGCACTTGGTGTGGAGTCTGCTTGGGTTTCTCTCCCTCTCCTTCTCCCTCATGGTCTCTCTCTCAAATAAATA